AAATAAAAATAAAAAATAAAAAATATCTGGGGTGCCCAGACATTTGGTCCAAGATTATTTTGAGTGTCTCTGAGAAGATAAACCTCATGCTATGAGCATTAGAAAAATTAAAGTAAATAAAATGATTGCCATCTCTGATGTGCATTGAAGGCCTAGTGGAACAAAGGACTGATTCCCTCAGCTGCGTTCTCCTTCCTGACTTGAGCAGGGAGGCCAGCCTTCGTGCCTTCCGATGCAAACTGTAAATGGCTTTCCCTGGATCTTGAGGTTCAGCCCCTGGGATGAGAGCTACACCCTTGGCTTCCATTGGTCCCCCAGTTTGCTGGCCAGATCTTGTGACTCATCAGTCTCCACAATCACAAAACTCAATTTCATTCAGGGGATGTGAAGATGCAAACCATGGACCAAACACAGTGTACTCCAGGCCGCACAGTACTCAGGGCTGAGAGTTTACTCTTCCATGCCTTTCCTCCAAGGAATTTTTCAATTTCCTCTTTGGAGCCTGTACTTCTGCGTTCTCAGACCTGCACTGGCAGGAGCAGTCTGGTCAGGAGGCCTCCCGGAGACCCTGTAGCAGAACTTATTTTTTGTCCCGAGCTACTCTTGCTTTGTTTCCTCTTTATTTTCAATGATACCTGAGACACCTGCCTCCTCAGGTGCTCTCTCCCCTTGTTGCACTTTCCTAGGAGGTGCACTTCTGCAGGAAACACAAGTGCCTCTGCCTTTGCTCAGGAGTTCTTAACCCTTGACCAAGGACCTGTTAGGAACCCATCCCCCACGTACACAGCAGGAGGTGAGGGCGAACAGCAGGCCAGAGGGAAGCTTCATCTGTATTTAGAGCTGCTCCCTTGCTACCTGAGGGCCTTCTGGTATCAGATGAGCAGCAGCAGTCACTATGAGCTGCACAAGGGAGCAACTGAGGCTGCAAGCTCATTCTAATCATCTAGGACCATCCCTACCACCATCACCCTGCCCAGCCCGCACCATGGGAAAAACTGTCTTTCATGAAACCAGTCCTGGGGGGCAAAAAGGCTGGGCACCTCAGCCTCTGACATGAGGCTTCTTTTCAGAGAGGCTTTGCTTAGTTGGGTCAGCATATCTGGTCCTGCCTCTCTAGATAAGACCCTCATACTAGACAGCTTGCAAACACACTGTGTGGCACTCATGGAATCCAGCTGCCTCGCACAGAAAATATTGTTTTGTTTCCCTATAATTAAAAGCTTTAATGAAAATATGTACTTTTTTAGTGGTTGAAGGCTTCTTACTGTCACAGCTGTTTGGGGAGCCACATCTGTCAAGGATAAGTGTGCACCTTGTAAAGGCTCTTGGTTTTCCCAAGGTCCTCACTCACTTGCAGGCCACGTGCCTGGCATCTCACTGCTAGGCCTCACCTGACTGCTGTGCAGCTGGATGGAACTGTCTGTGGCTCGAGGCTGATGGAGTCTGCTGTCTTGGCTCTGACTGCCAAGAAAATAGCCTGAAACCCTAGGCTATGAGCTAACACATGATTATGCATGAGTCTAATCCCAGGAAGTATGAATAAGAAAGACTGGGAGAATCTAGGAATGAAGGAGAACACATGTATGTGTCACACAGGGTGTGTCTTCCTAGTCTGGCCACAGCTTTGACACAAGTTGATTGCTTTTTCTCTCAGAATGTCCTTCTATCAAGCTTTTGCATTGCTGAACAGTGTAGTGGGGTAGGGTGGGGAGGAAATTTGTTTATTGATTCTAGCATTTCATTGTCAGGGTCTACTTCTTTATATGGATGGGGCAGCCCAGGAGGGACCCAGAATAGAGGTGTGGTCCATGATATATGGGATTGTTAATCATGGCTAGTTAATCTGACTTGAGTTAGAACCTCCTGGAAGATTAGTGATTCTGGATGTGTCTGTGGATGATTTATATGTGGCCAGCAAACTAGTGGAGAAGATCTACCCTGAATATGGTTGGTACCCACCAATGAATAGAATTATACTTTGGAGAGAATAAAAAGGAAATGAAGTATGAAGTATTTCCCTGCTTGGGAAGAACTCTAGTCTTTGCCATTGTCTGTGGACATTAATCTCCAATTTCTTCAGTCTTCTAGCAATAGTTTCTTCAGCTCTCCAATACAAGCTTCCATCTGTGACTCTAGAGTGAGCGTTCAGGCCTTTGACCTTGGACTGCTACTGGGATTTTGGATTCTTCTACTTGTGATCTTGTAGAAAACCAGTGTGACCCTCCTGCTTCTGATCCTGGAAGCCTACCTAATAAACCCTTTGTATAGTTATATATATTTGATATTGATTATTTTTCTCTAGGGAGCCATAACTAAGATACTGTACAGAAGGGAGATGTTATCCAGTCTTAGGTCCAAGTGCCAGGAGGAACCAGGACCCTGGCCCAGCAGTTGTAGTGGCTGGAATCTGTAATCCAGATCAGCACAAACTGTGCCTACACCCACCCCAACCAGCACAGTCCAGCATACCTGGTGCACTGCTCAATGATGGGTGTGTATAGCCCAGCCACATAGCCCCAGGACAAAGTTCTAGCAACCTCCCATAAACCCTGCACCCTGTGGCTTAGAGTTCCTCTGTCAGGTTGAATAGTCAAGATGTAAAGCAATACCAAACAGTTCCAAAGCAGTTGAAAACAGCTATGGTAAAGAGCCCACAGAACCATACCGGATAAGCACCACTGAAGTGTAAAGCCAGCTGCCCTAGCTTAGGTGGAATTCCCTACCTTGCTGTGCACCTTGCTTTCCTGAATTATCCTCTGTTCTATTTCTCAAGGTCTGAAGGCTTGTGTGTGAGCCTTGAGGATGAACTTTCCTTCCTGATTCCTCTCTAGAGAGGCAGGTCCTTTGAAACTTAGGGCAGAGAAGAAAAGCAGCTCCTGCTGGCTGCTTTTGGCTGTGAGAAGGAGACAGAGGAGCTGGGCTGGGTAGGTCCGCACTGTTCTTCTAAAGCTTTCAGGGAGCTAACCAGTGAACCTCTGAACAGTGAAGGAAGGAGTGAGGAAAGAGAGGGCCCAGAAATATGTTGTCAATAGGGCTCCATTAATGTGGAAGAAATGACATTGTTGAGAAAATGCTCCTCTCCCATCCCCCTAGGTTCCAAATCACTGTGTCAGGACCTCCTAAAAGCCTTTTCACTGGGGATCTGGGGCCACCCCAGGATGAGTCTGCAGGTTTCTAAGCTCAATAAATCTTCCCAAGAGCTGAGGGGCTACCTTCCATTCTGTATGGGTTTATTTAGGAACATTGCTGAATCAGTAGAGAAGAAAATGATCAGCACACTTTCTGGATATCCACCTCCTCCTCCTCCTCCATCATCACCTTTAATGGACTCTAGACTTCACCCAGAAGGGGTCGAGGATCCCAAAGCCATGAAGGATATATGTGGCTACAGTGAATCCTGTAGGATTTGTCTAGATCCATTTCAGGTCAAGGGTGTACCTGTCAATAGATGAACTCTTTATTGAGGTTGCAGGTATTAATCTTGAAAAACAGGAAAAGCCCCTTTCAACACAGTTATTCACTAAGAATTGAGCACCTAGTTTACCAGCCCCTGCCCAGTGGGTTGGAGGGACAACATGAGGGTGAGAAAGGGTTTCACACACTAGAACAAATGGTAGCATCTCCTTGAGAGGCTGAAGCAGAAAGATCACAAGTTTGAGATCAGCCTGAGAAATGTGGCAAGATCCTATTTCAAGATAAAAAATAAAAAGGACTGATTGGGTTTTCTTTTGTGTTTCAGATACCCATAAGACACATCAGTTTTGAACAAATAAAAAAAAAATCACCTCAGTCTCATAGGCAGAGCTGGTAGAAATGATTTTATTGGTATCCTAAAGCACTCTGAGCTCTGACTATTGGATTCCCATAGACTAAGAATCAGTAGATAAAGATGTGAGTGACTGTACAGATGTATGATCTTACAGGCATTGAATCTGACAGTCAGTTATTAAAAATCAACTTCATGCCAGGTACTGTGCTGAGCTCTGCCTGTATATCAGTTGGACTTGGGCTTTGATTTTGAGAGTCTCTCCCCCTTGCTGAAAAGACAGAAGTGCCTACATCTCTAAAACAAATGAATGATTTGGAGGAGAGGACACAACCTGTGCGTCAGGGACTCTGGATTTACCTTCATCTGAACTCTGCCACTAACTGCTCCGGTTCTCAATTTCCAGCTACAAAATCAGAGCTGTCTTAATGTAATTTAGATTCCTTCCTGACATTAACATTGGTAATTCCCTGTCTGTGTAAAAGTGCCAGGGGAGCCCGAAAGAGAGACCACTGAATGTCATGGGGCTGACATTTAAGTCAGGGTGACAGAAATGAACAAGATTACTGAAGGAGATGACAGAGAAATATTTTGTGGGAAGAGGTAATGTAGAAAGGCTGTGCTAGGATTGCAGAAGAGCATGAACTAGGTGCAGGGCCTGCAGGGCAACGGTATCAGGAGAAGAGCATAGGAAGGAAGGTAGGTGAGGCCCTCGAGTGCCCTAGGAGGAATTTTGGGTTTTGCGGCTTAGAAACAATCCCATGACACAAAGTCAGAAATCAAGAGAAGGTGTGAAGAGCATCGTTAGGGTGTAGCACTGCATACCCTGGTTCATAGGCAACAGCAAATCACTTTGAAGAGAGCATGTTTATTCATTGTTTTCACATTGAGATTGCAAGGCCAGAGATGAGGTACACCAAGATGGTGGCTGCAACCTTCCTCTGTCCACGGTGGCTGATGAAACCCAATTGCCACGGAGAAGTTCTCTTGGCCCCAGCAGAAGAGGGAGCTCTGGCTAAAGGTGACTAAAAGCAGAAGTGTGATCCACTTAAATGGCCCCTCTGGAGTCACACGCAGGAAGCCAGACCTGAGGGACTTTGTTCTCTGGATCTTCCTTGGACACGTGGCATCTGTTACCTGAAAACCTATTGGAAACGCAGAATCTCAGGCTCCACCCATACTTACAGAATCAGAACCCTTCATCTCACAGATTCCCAGGTCTTCCAGATGAGCACATTAATGTTTTAGATCGTCTCCAGCTCGCTGAAGAGCCTTCTCCTCACCCCAACTCCCCTTCTTCATTTCCCACTAGTGAAAAAGGGAGCAGTTCCTGAGCTTTCTAGGACCATGCTGGACCAGGTTCCAAACGAATTAACTATAATTTCTTCCCCATTCATTCATATGTTCATTCAGTCAAACACTGTTGAGCACTTGTAAATAGATATATATAATATATCCACCATAGTAGGCTTAAAAGCAGCCATCAATTATATATATATATATATATATATATATATATATATATATTCCATCTGCATCCCTGGTGCTCCCGACCTTGTGTTACTTCCCACAGGTGGAAAAAGACCTGGGTCTTGAGGTGGAAAATCCACTTACTTGATTGGACAGATGTTGGTACATGGGCAGAAGGGAAAGAACACCAGTGTGAAGTCTGACCCTGGAGTCTGAGGTAGGTAGAAGAGGATCAAACACCATTCTGCTGTAGGGAGGCCTGCACGAGTCCATCGTTGGGGTGGGGTGATGTGCTTCTTGCTTGGCAGAGGACCACAGTAGCTCCCCAGTGATGGCAATGAGAAGCACACCCAACGAGAGCAGGTCCTCCGGGCTGGAGCTGATGGGCACTTCTCACTGAGGGATGGCGGGTGCCAGCATTGCACTGATCTCACTGAAGAAGCCAGCAGACAGGAGCGCTCTGGGTTGGGACTAACTTATCATTAAACATAAAGCACCACTAACGAAGGGCTGTAGCCAAGGAAACAGGTGGGAGTTTGGCAGGGTTGTGTGCTCCGGTTGGCCTGAGAACAGAACACTTGATATTCATGATGCTGCATGTGGCCTGGGGGAGTTTAAATCTTCCCACTCAATGGTCCTGCTCCCTCATTGGAGCACTGGGGTGCAGGGGTTGAGACAGCAGCTGGGAAGTCATGTAACTCATCTATGAGGAGCCGAGATGACTGATTGCTGGGCCCTGGAGGCTGGGGTGCAGGACACCTTCACCTGGGAGTAGATGACAGAGGAATCCTAGGAGGAAAGAGCACTTGCATGAGGGCCAGAGCCAGTGACCCCAAGGCCAGCCACACAGGTCAGAAGACTCACCTCACTCCTGACGCTCCTGGGTCTGGAGGATGCTGTGGAAAGAAGAGGTTTGCTCAGTGTTCAGGGGCTCTCTCAGTGTTCCTGGTTGCTGGATCCACCTCTCCACCCTCTGTCTCCTCCCTACCCAGTAGCTGCCCCTCCTTCAGCCTCACCACACGGCCTGACCATCCCCCACTTCCACATCACCTCACATATTCCCACACTTAGCTGCCAGGGAGCTCTCACAAGAAGGAAAACCTGCCTTTGCTTTTGTTAGTTCTTTGATCTCTGATTTGCATTCTGTATTATGAAGAGGCAGCACAGCCTGGAGCAGGCTGTAGGGGGCAGACTCCAGGCCCAGGGCACCCCTAACTGAGCCCTGGGTCTGCCTCTTCACTCCTGGGATCTAGGGAAAGTCATTCAACTTTTGCTTCAGTTCCCTCACCGTATTGTCTGTCTGCAGGGTTATTGTAACTGTATATGAATTTATTTACATATATGCATGTATTAAATATGTGTGTCTGCATAATTGCTGTCTCTCATGCGCTGAGTAATTTTTGTGTGTCAGGTACAGATGAAGACCTAACTATGTAAAAATAACTAGCGAGTTCCTGCAACATCACTGGCCATGAAGATGGAGGAAGAAGACAGACACGAAGGACAGTGGAGGCCTTAAAGTGAAGAAGTCAAGAAACACATTCACGCACTACAGCCCAGCCAAAGGCACACAGCCCCACCAGGACCTTGATTTAGCTCAGTGAGACCTGTGTCAGACTTCCTGTTAGATAATCAATGTGTGTCATTTAACCCTACCGGATTTGTAGTAATGTCATATCAGCAATAGCAAATTCACACAGGCAGGAAGGTCCCATGGACTGATGTATGAATGTCCCTTCCTATTCCAAATTCATGTGATGAAGCTCTAAACCCCAGTCTGATGGTATTTGGAGATGAAACTTTTGGGATAATTAGGTCATGCTGGAATTAATGTCCTTATAAACTAGAAGAGAGATGATCTCTCTTCTATGCAAGGGTACAGCAAGACAGCATCTGTCTGCAAACCAGCAAAGGGCCCTTATGCTGAACCTGACCATGTCAGCACTTGCTCTTGGACTTCCAGCCTCCAGAACTGTAGCTAATAAATGCTTATCCTTCAAGCCACCCATTCTAGAGTATTCCATTACACCAGGCTGAAGGAAGGCAGCAAGGGGTGATAGCCCCGCTTCATTTTACAGATGAAGATGCTGGAGCTAAGAGAGGATGAGTGACTTCCCGGGGTGATGAAGTTATGCAGGAGACACTGAGGTCATCTGTAGAGACCATCACTGCATGGTGGGGTGGGACTGACCTCAGTGTAGGCCCAAGTTAAGAAGCCCCTCTGCCTTACTGTGAGGGGTTGCTCTGTGCCTGGGTTAGTCTAGACCTACTGAGGTGGTACAAACTGAGGAAAACTGGCTGTCAGGGTTGAGGCTGGCCAGAGGAGAGACTCTCAGATATTACCTGTGTGTTTATTTTCCTCTCTGTTTCTTCGCACTTCTGAGTAAACCACGTCTTCTCCTCTAGGATTTACTTAGAAACAAGTGGTAGTTTCAGAGGTCACACAGGTACTTGGTTCTTTCCTGAGCCACTCCCTCCCCTCCCAGACAGTTTGTTGTACGGAAGGACTAGGGCCCACCTGGCCCATATGTAGTCCATCCTCATCTCTTGCCCCACAACTCTCCCACAACAACCCTCTTGCCCCTGCAAAAAGAGATGCCCCACTGTCCTTACCATTGAGGTACACTGGTTGCAGTTCTATCCAGCCTGGTACATTGTGGTAAGTGGCCTCTTGGGAGTTTGAATCTGAAGGGTTCCTGTGAAATAAACGTCAATCTTTTCTAGGAAGTTTGGAGAATAACTATGCCATTCACTCTCAGTCAGTGAAATTTTAGTATAGGGTGGCTGGCAAGTCTAGAAACATAGGTAAATGTATAACAAATTATCTACCCATATTATGTTATGAATCTTGAGAAGTTTGTATCACCTGCTTTTCCAAGTTTTTGTAAGCAATAGACACTGAGTTAATGCTTAGAACAATATTGCTTTAGTTCTCTTTTCTCCCCATTTTTTTTTTTTTGTATTTTTTAGTAAGGGTCTATAGGGTCTCACTACAAAGATCAGACTCATAGTGATCCACCTGTGTTCAGTCTCCCAAGAGCTGGGATTATAGGCGAGCACCACCACACCCAGTCTCAATGGCCTTCTCAGTGCGCCCTGGGGGCAGGGCTGCCATGGCAGGCTCGGGGATCGAACCCCTTCTGCTGCGCTCTGCCTAAGCAGGCACTTTAATCTGCTGAGCTATTTGGCAGACCTTTTTGTCCCCATTTTGTAGATGAAAAAAAGGAGTTACCATAGGATTAAATGACTTATGAGGGCCGTGTAACTAGAAAGAGAAAGTGCCAAGATTCAAACTAGGTCCCCCCAAAATCTTTACTTTTAGAAAAATCAAAGGCTTATAAATCAGTAATGAGAAAGGCTTAGAGGACCTCAGAGTGCTTTGGATATTGCTACCATACCCAAGGATAGTGTATGAGCCTGGGTGTGGGCCCTAAAGCCAGCCTTTAGAATCCAAGATGGCAGCCCTTGATCCTAGGCACTCTTCTTGCTAGCAGAGTGACCTCTGGGTGACCAAGTTTTGTGGCTCCACCTTTTTAGCTGTCATCACAACAGGAACTGATTAGGTTGGCTCTATCCAAACCTTCCAGGCTAATGAAACTGAATGGTTTCAAGGCCTGGATGGGTTTATAATTGGTCATTCAGATAACTAAGCCAACAATAGTACAATTACAAGGTTGTGAGATAATAAGTGAAAATCAAGTAACATCTGAGAACAGTCTATGAAGATAAGGTGGGTGAGATAATGCTACGAATTGCCTTGAATTACCCCAAGGGAGATGCCAACCCAAAGCAGAGACTACATCAATAGCAAGACAAGAAACTGAGCATTGGGTGATAATCAGATTCACTCCATTTGTTACCCTGTGGGCATTTCATTCACCACACAAGAATATAGCCCACATCTTTCTTACCTGGAGAAGTCAGGAACAGACTTGTCTCCTGAAAAACAAAACACAGGGACATTGGATTCCAGCCAAGGAAAGCTTAACAGGGACATAACTCACAGGAGGTTCACACAGATTGCTGGGAGTTGCATCCCTGAAGTCCTCATCCTCCTATCTATGCACAAAGAAGGTGGTAGAAGGGACAAAAACAACTAAACTATTGGACCTTAGTCTCCAGAGGGATGTAGCTATAAATCGAAAGGGGATACACAGTCTCCAATCTCTTAAACTAGAGTTTTAAAGATGGCAATCTCTAAAAACTATAGGCAGTCTAAGGTAGGATAGATACACAGCTACTTTCTCTTAGTTCATTGAGAAGAAAGCTTTGTACTAATATTGTTTAGACAAGATATCATGTCTGCATCTTGTCCTCTGAACAACTACTATGAAGACAATGATATGTAACGTATTAATTATTGTAACTGTTCTACTAACCTGTTTTGAAGCTGTTTCATTGATATTTTATCTTTATTCTCATTAAAATGAATTAAAAAATTAAAAACTAGGGGGCCTGCCCCTTAGCTCAATTCTTTAAGTGGCTGCTTCGATAAAGCAGTCAGGCTCAGGTTGCTGTGGTTCAATCCCCACAACTCAAGCAGGCCAGACCTGCCCTGAGGTCATTCAGAGCCAAAATAAATAAATAAATAAATAAATAAATAAATAAATAAATAAATAAGTAAATAAGTAAATAATAAAAAGTAAAAATAAAAACTATAGGCAGTCTAATAGATTTGATCACCTATGAAAATACTGTACATTTTAAAAAATCACTAAGTTTCCAAGTCCAATTTTTTCCCTATGTTTAATTTTACATCTCAGTCTTTCTCTTCCTTTTCTCATTCCTTGGGGATTTTGGGAAGGAACAGAGGGGAAAACACTGCAATTTATGAACTTGGACTAACTCCATCTTATTAAGGCCTGTTCCACCCCATCAGGTGTTTCAGTAGCTCTGCATTTGGTAAACAGGACTTATGAAGGACCCAGGGGGACAGGTGAAGGACTATGCAATGTGGAGGGAGGAGCTACTTAAACCTGGCAGTCACTTAGTCAGCGGTCTGAAAAATAGAAATGAGAAGAACACTGGCTCCAGAACAAGTGTTCCAGGGAGCTACCCACCTGCTTTTCTTGAGAAACAGGAGTAAAACAGCAGTGTTCCAGCAGCAACAAGGCCCACCACGCTGAGTAGTGCCCCAGTGACTCCTGTAGCTAGAGCACCTCTTCTGTTCTTGGTCAGCCCTGCAGGGAAGACCCTGTGCATGAGCCCCAGGGAGAAGAGGCCTAGGCCTCTGAAGCTGATACTTGGGAGAAAGGATGAGCAGAGGCAATTAACTCCTATGGTTAAGGAGGTACTGGTGTGACACAGGACATGGCCCATGCCTTGATCAGGAAGCTTGTCTCAGTGCTTCAGGCAAGACTTAGGGTTTAAGATGGATGAGGACCAGTGAGAGAAGAGGCAGCCAGCTGATGAACTCTGTTTTCAGCAATGTTTGTTTTCTCAACACACCTATTCATCCCATCACTTCAGAATACAATTGGAGAGTTATCACCATAGAGTGTTTGACAAGAACTCTTGTCATGCATCATGAGGATTATTATCAGAGTGGCATAGAGGACATAGTAAGTGTCTTTCCATGACTTGAGCATAAGAAATTTACCTGGGATGAAAAGTGTCACCACCTCACTCTGCTGGGCCCCCAAGCCATTGTCAGCCTCACAAGAATAGTTTCCAGAATGTTCTGCAGTCAGGGAGAAGTTGAAGGACACTCCTTTTCCAGAGAAAGTTGAGTCATTCCTCAAGGTGACTTTCTCATGATAAAACCGGTACTGGATTGGTGGAGAGCCTCTCAGGGCCTCACAATGAAGCTCCATTTCATCCCCCACCACAGCTTGGGGCCTGGGGAATCTGAGAGTGAGGACAGGGCGGGACACTGGAACTGAACAAGAACAAGATGTCAGTAGTAACTTTGCTTTTAATATATTTGTTTTGAGACAAGATCTTGCTAAACCAATAAGTTATCCAGATTGGGCTTGAATTTGCAATTCTGCTGCCTACGCCTCCCAGAGTGCTGAGATTACAGACATGCGCGATTGTGTCCTGCTTGCTTTGAACACATTTGTAAGCAAAAGAAAATAATATAAGCAAATGGAAAAATGTCAAGTTTCATTCAATCTTGGAAAAATTGAAACACGAAGTAACTAAACTAATTACTTTGATCTTCAAATAGCTTTTCATGTAGATAAATGTATAGTAGAAAAGTGTTAAAAGTATGAGTGAGCAAAATTTCTAATAGCTGCCAGTCCTAGCCCAGGTCCGGTGAGTGTGCAGAGAGTTTCCTGCTACCCTGCGCCGGTGGGACCAGTCCCAGCCCAGGCGCAGCGTGGGCCGG